AGTCCAAGGAAATGTTTAAGAGGGCGGACAAGATTTTCGGAATAGCGCAAGAGGAAGTCGGACGGACCGAGCCAATGTTCAATCTCGAAACGGAGCGTATGGCAGAGCGCTTCCGCGCGAAGCGACGCAAAGCAATAGAAGAACGAGAAAAGGCAGAAAAAGAAAAGCAAGAGGTAGAAAGGGCCAATGGGAACCCTGTCAATGGGGATTCGGCAATGGGGCCCCTTACCTGGTCAGAGTGATTCGGATAGCGACGTCGCAAAGACCCCAAAGAAGGGTGGATTACCTCCAGGCGTAACGGATGGCGGTATGCTCGCTGGAGGTGCTGGTCTTCCTTTTGATACTGCGGGCACCCCATCGAACCTGGGAAGAATTGGCGAAGCTGGTGAGGATATCCATTGTGTTAGAAATGTCATTCTCAATTACCCCAGGTCTTGCTGATGCGGATCCGCTTGGCGTCAACACAAATGTCTCCTTTGATGACGTTGGAGGTCTGGATGATCGTAGGTTATCTTCAAAATTTTGCTTCCTGTTCTGATATCCCGTAGATGTATCGAAGTTGAAAGAGATGACATTGCTCCCGTTGCTGTATCCAGATATGTTCCAGAGTTTAGGTGTCACACCCCCTCGGGGTGTCCTTTTCCATGGTCCACCTGGAACTGGTAAAACCCTCGTTGCTAGGGCTTTAGCTGCTAGCAGTCGCAGCGAAGGCCGAAGTGTCTGTAAGTTATCCGCTTGTTAAACTGATCCTGTACTGACGCCCCTCAGCATTTTTCATGCGCAAAGGAGCCGATTGTCTCTCAAAATGGGTCGGAGAGGCTGAACGACAATTGCGCCTGCTCTTTGAGGAAGCAAAAAAGGTTCAGCCAAGCATCATCTTCTTTGACGAGATTGATGGTCTTGCACCCGTTCGAAGCTCAAAGCAAGACCAAATCCATGCAAGCATAGTCTCAACGTTACTTGCTCTTATGGACGGGATGGATGGTCGTGGCCAGGTCATCGTTATTGGCGCGACCAATCGTCCGGATGCCATCGACCCCGCTCTTCGTAGACCTGGGAGGTTTGATAGAGAATTCTACTTCCCTTTACCGAACTATGATGCACGACTCAAGATCTTGGAAATTATGACCAAGAAGTGGGAAAATTGGGTTGGTGAGAAGGGGGAAGAGTCCAGGAAAAAACTTGCGAAGTTGACGAAGGGCTATGGGGGTGCAGATCTCCGGGTAAGATGAACATTCTAGCCTCCCGCTCCTCACTGATGGCTGTCATATAGGCTCTCTGTACCGAAGCTGCGCTCAACGCCATACAAAGGCAGTACCCCCAGATATATCAGTCAAGCGAGCGGCTTCTTCTCGATCACAGTAAAATCACTGTTCAAGCTCGCGATTTCATGATTTCAGTAAAGGAGGTGGTACCTTCTTCCGCCCGATCAACTGCATCTGTGGCGGCCCCTTTGCCCCCGCAGCTTGCACCTTTGTTGGAGGGTTCGTTGAACGAGGTTAAAACCGCTCTGGATACAACACTGCCCAGAGCCAAAAAGCGGTCGGCCCTTGAAGAAGCTCAGTGGGAAGAAGACCATCCTGACGGTGAAGCTGGAGCTTTTGAACGTGAGATGATGCTTCAGGCTTTGGAATCACAGCGGGTCAACCGACCGCGTCTGTTGCTACATGGGCCATCGGGCATGGGCCAACGAGCGGTTGGTGCAGCAGCACTGCATTACCTGGAAGGTTTTAGTGTCCAAAGCCTTGATATTGGTACACTGACTGGAGATCCGTCAAGGGTAAGATTGTCTATATCTCCAAGTCTACCGTTTAATAACTCCTACCTCAGACTCCAGAAGCTGCGATTGTTCAACTGTTTATCGAAGCAAAGAGGCATGCCCCATCCATCATTTATATCCCATCGTTGACCGCTATGTGTGGATCGTTGCCAGAGACATGTCGGGCTTTGATCGCCGATTCCTTGGAATCTTTGGAACCTCACGAACCGATTCTCTTACTTGCAGTAATGACAGGATCGTTCAAATCACTCCCACGTGATGTCAGGGCGTGGTTCGCAAAGAACGCAGAAAGTAAAATCGCATTCAGCCTGCCTGACGAACCGAAGCGACGTCATTTCTTTCAAGAGCTCCTGGACTACGTCAAGAAACCTCCTTCACAGTTCCCTGATGCTGTAAAGCGTCGTCGCCGTGTCCTCGAAGTATTGCCAGTCGCCCCTCCTCTACCTCCGAGGGAGCCTACTCCAGCCGAAGTAGCTGCCCAGGAGAGACACGATACTCTACTCTTCTACAAGGTCAAGAGCCATCTCAACAGCATATTTAGTCAATGTCGCAAAGCAGATAACAAATTCTGCAAGGCTACGATTGGCCAGACCGTTGT